ACCCAAACAAAAAAAACCCACAAACCAAAAACTCCCGCCCAACTCTACAATATATAGTGTAATGCTATTGAAACATAATTTATAAACATAATTTGAAAATATAATGAGTTGTCATCAATAATGTAATAATGAATTCATTAATATTACAATGAGACTCATTATTAAATATATTTTTCTATCATTTTATTGGTGACAATTCATTATGTCCCCATAATCATGTCTTTCAATTATGTCTCAATAACATTAGTGCAATATAAAATGCAATTAGCAATCCAACCGAGCTACTGGTACTTCATTCATTTTGCCCTCAATTCAAGTAGGGTTTATTATTTTTTAAATAAGTCAAATATGAATAATTTTTAAAATTTATTTAAAAAAACGAGTTTAAATATTCAATTTATTTATATATAAAATAGTCAAGTTACTTAAATTCGACTCAATTCAAATCCAATTTGTTTTCTAAACGAGACAATCTTGAGCAATGCAAAATGAGCCTTCAGGCCTCTGGCTTTCTATTAACCGCGAGCAAAGGTTGCAAATTGGTCTTAGCTTACTCAGTTTATATCGTATTTACGTTGTGCCGTTTCTGTGGCGGAGCCACTAGTGGACCAGAGACACGGGTTCACCCTGAATTTTTTTTTTTTTAAAAAAATTTGGTATATTTTATGATGCCCATTATATATATTTTGTGTTCAATCTATGAATTTCTTATTCTATTAAGTAAGATAGACAAATATTTAATTAATTATGAATTTTTGAACACACTTTTCGCTTTATGGACACGCCTATATAAGTTTTTGATATTTCAAATTTATTTTTTTAAGTTCTAAAAATTAATTTACATAATAAAAAAAAATGAGTTAATTAATTATATAGAGAAATATATTCTCCATAGTATAGATAAGAAAGTTATCATATAACGTCTTTAAGGTATAAAAACTCATCAAAATTAATTATAATTAGCCTCTTCTCAAATTTTTTTGTATCTGCTATGCATATGGATTTTGAACCATTTTGTATCCAATAAATGTTTGGGTATCAAATATAATATAATAAATTTAAATATGGTATGTTACTTTTATCAAGTAAGAGAAAAAGAAATTAAATTTATAATTAAAGTGCCCGAAACAAATTTTTTTACTCCGCCATTGACCGTTTCAAAATTTATTAAATTTATATCTTGTTAATTGAGTACATGTCAGGAATCGTTTTAAAGGGTGAATGTCATGTTCAATTAGATTTTTGTCAATTTATAAATTTGGTGGGCTTTTTAAGTAATCACTCGAGCCCAATTCATAATTTTAGACGAAATCACCCTCAATTTTCACTGCTAATTAATTTTATTTCGATTTCGTGTTGAGTTTGTGTATCAAATTTAAAATTATCAAGCCCATGGGGGCACGGTCCATTTTTTGAGCCTTTATAGCATTAGGCCAGTTTTTCATATCGAGTGAAACGAGTTCATGTCAGATCTTAGTGAGTTTATATCAAAAAAATTCTTTTCTTATATTAGATTCGCTTATTGACTTGTGTCTAATAAATCGTGTCATATCATATTTGTATCGTGTGTGAATCGTATATAACGGATATATAAACGAGTCTTGTATTTTTTTTTGATTAATTTCACACATACCCGATTCGTTTATTAATCTTATTGTGTCGAGTTCACCCATTTATAAAACATGTGAATTAAAAAACACCTAAATTTTTTAATTGTGTATTGTGTTAACAGACCGTGTCATATTTTAACATCCCTACGTAGCGTCATGTTGTGACACTACCTTTGCTTATCTTAATGTTTCGAATAAATATTATATTTAGTTCTTAAATTTTGTCTTAATTTTGACGAATTTGATAATTAAGGACTAAATTNTTTCGAATAAATATTATATTTAGTTCTTAAATTTTGTCTTAATTTTGACGAATTTGATAATTAAGGACTAAATTAAAATAATTAAAAATTTAGGGATCATTTTTTAAATAAAAGGCAAAATTTAGACACTTACCATATTTACGAAGATTTTTCAATCCCTTAGAATAGTTTCGTTCACTTGCCCATCACTCTCGGCCATTCTCATCGTCAACTAGCGGTGTTGGCCCTGTTCTCCCCTTCCCGGTCCATCGATCCTCATTAAATAGATACTGCAGAGAAGTAAATCCGAGCAAACTCAGTTTTCTCTCTTCTCCATCACACACACAGACACAGACATACAGAGAGATGGTAAGGGATAGCTGTCTGGCTCGAGTCACCGCAGGTGTTGCGGTCGGCGGTGCTGTTGGAGGCGCTGTTGGTAATTTCTCTCTTTCTCATTCCCTCCCAAAACTCCAAGCCCTGTTTGGTTCGCGTGAAAACCTTGGGGAAATAGAAAAGAAAATTATGTAGTTTTGAGTTTTAGCTATTTTTTTTCTCCCTCTTCTTTTCTCCAACAGAGGAAAAAACCTGGACTTAGAAAGTTGGAATTTCTATATGGTTTCTTGCATTGTCTCGGCTTCCAAACACAAATAAGTTATGTTCACGATTTACAAAACCCTAGCTTGACTGAACTTTAATTTATTTTTAATGTTTTTTGTGCGTTATCTGTTCTTTTTTTTTTNCCAACTCTAAAATATACGGTGCAATGCTATTGGGACATAATTTATGAACATAATTTAAAAATATAATGAGTTGTCATCAATAATGTAATAATGAATTCATTAATATTTACAATGAGATTCATCATTAAATGCATTTTTTTATCATTTTATTGGTGATAATTCATTATGTCCCCATAATCATGTCCTTCAATTATGTCTCAATAGCATTAGTGCAATATAAAATGCAATTAGCAATCCAACCGAGCTACTGGTACTTAATTCATTTTGCCCTCAATTCAAGTAGGATTTATTATTTTTTAAATGAGTCGAAGATGAATAATTTTTAAAATTTGTTTAAAAAAATGAGTTTAAATATTCAATTTATTTATATATAAAGTAGTCAAGTTACTTATCAATTCAAATTCAATTTGTTTTCTAAACGAGACAATCTTGAGCAATGCAAAATGAGCCTTCGGGCCTCTGGCTTTCTATTAACCCATAGACAAGCGAGCAAGGGTTGCAAATTGGTATTAGCTTACTCAGTTTATATCGTATTTACGTTGTGCCGTTTCTGTGGCGGAGCCACTAGTGGACCAGAGACACGGGTTCACCCTGAATTTTTTTTTAAAAAAAAAAGTTTGGTATATTTTATGATGCCCATTATATATATTTTGTGTTCAATCTATCAATTTCTTATTCTATTAAGTAAGATAGACAAATATTTAATTAATTATAAATTTTTTAACACACTTTTCGCTTTATGGACACGCCTATATAAGTTTTTGATGTTTCAAATTTATTTTTTTAAGTTCTGAAAATTAATTTACATAATAAAAAAAATTGAGTTAATTAATTATATAGAGAAATATATTCTCCATAGTATAGGTAAGAAAGTTATCATATAACGTCTTTAAGGTATAAAAACTCATCAAAATTAATTATAATTAGCCTCTTCTCAAATTTTTTTGTATCTGCTAGCTATGCATATGGATTTTGAACCATTTTGTATCCAATAAATGTTTGGGTATCAAATATAATATAATAAATTTAAATATGCTATGTTACTTTTATCAAGTAAGAGAAAAAGAAATTAAATTTATAATTAAAGTGCCGGAAACAAATTTTTTGACTCCGCCAGCCATCGACCGTTTCAAAATTTATTAAATTTATATCTTCTTAATTCATAATTGAGTTCATGTCAGGAATCGTTGTATCCAATAAATGTTTTGGTTCAATTAGATTTTTGTCAATTTATAAATTTGGTGGGCTTTTTAATTAATCACTCGAGCCCAATTCATAATTTTAGACGAAATCACCCTCAATTTTCACTGCTATTGAATTTTATTTCGATTTCGTGTTGAGTTTGTGTATCAAATTTAAAATTATCAAGCCCATGGGGGCACGGTCCATCTTTTGAGCCTTTATAGCATTAGGCCAGTTTTTCATATCGAGTGAAACGAGTTCATGTCAGATCTTAGTGAGTTTATATCAAAAAAATTCTTTTCTTATATTAGATTCGCTTATTGACTTGTGTCTAATAAATCGTGTCATATCATATTTGTATCGTGTGTGAATCGTATATAACGGATATATAAACGAGTCTTGTATTTTTTTTTGATTAATTTCACACATACCCGA